CAGCTCCAAGTTTGAATCCATATTCTTCAATTTTTTCAAAAACCTGATTAATATGTTCCAAATGTTCATTTTGATCTTTACTTTTTATCAAAATATCATCAAGATATGCAATGGCGAAGTCCAACCCTGCCAGCACAGTGCTGAAAAATACTAGGGGATACGTTTAAACCAAAAGGCAGACGGTTTAATTTGTATAAACCCTTGTGTGTATTGATAGTCAACAATTTAGAACATTCTTCGTCCACTTTCACTTGGAGATAGGCATCCGATAAATCCAATTCAGAGAATATTTTTCCTCCATTTAAACTTGCAAAAATGTCTTCTGGTGAAGGCAAAGGATATATGCGGTCTTTTAAGCAATCATTTAGACCCGTAGAGAAATCGGCACACATCCGAATTTTATTATTCTTTTTCTTAACATATACAACAGGGCAGGCCCACTCTGAAAATTCAATGCGTGAAATAACTCCTAAATTTTCAAGCCGTTCCAATTCTTTCTTAATCTGTTCCAAAACACCAAATGGCACATTTCTTTTTCGCTTGAAAACAGGTTTTACATTTTCCTTCACTTCAAATTTTGCCTTCGTCTTTTTGCAACATCCAAGACCTTCTGAAAATACTTGTGGAAATTTTATTTTCAGATCTTTCACCAAATTTTCTGTAACCCGATTTTTACATGGAGAAGAAATATTAATTCTATTGCAAAAAGAATTTATAAGGAGTTCCCATAAATTAAAAAGTATATTCCAATCTGTTCCAAACAAATTTGAAGCATTTTGTAGCACATACACTTTAGACTTTAGTGTCTTACCAACAAATGAAATATTACAAGAAAATTCACCTTGAAAATGCAATTTTTTTCCAGAAATCCCGCGAGCCACTTTTTCAGTCTTTTTAAGCAAAGGTTTGCCTATTTTAATCCATGTTGCTGTATTAATAATGGCAATATCACTTCCAGTGTCTAGCTGTAGTTTAACATTTTTTCCATTAATTTCTACCTGTACGAATTTTCTTTTCTGCTCCTCCTCAATCTTCTGACGTGACAACACAATATTCACATTATCTTTTTTCGACTTAATTTTTTTTCTTTTGCTTTTACAATGAGTACTTATATGGCCTTTATTGCCATACGAATAGCAATTTTTGTCGCAAAAAAACATTCACTTTTAAAATGACCACCACCGCATCCAAAGCACGTGGGTTTTTTAACGTTTTTATTAACTATTCCCATTTTTGGTCGAATAGCATGGACATGGGATACGTCTTTTTCTTCAATTTACGTATTGTCATGTTTTAAGTTTTCAATTCTTTGACACTCTTCCGTAACCTTCTGCAAAGTGATCTCGGAATTTTGTTCGAGTTTTGCCAATATTTGGGACCTTATGTCCTTATCTTTGCTAGAAGTCAAGCCTTGAACGAATATCAAACATTTAAATCGATCAATTGAAAGATCATGTAACATAAAACATTCACACATTCTGTTAACATTTACAGCATACGTAACAACATCCTCATCGTTACGCATGAGAAACGAGTATGAAACAAACTAACTTGCTCGCCAAAAATACTAGATAAAGTATTAAAAGTTTCTTCGAAAGAAATGTCACCAGTTTTTCTTGGAAGGACAAAATTCGTATACTTATTATTTTCATCTGTACCCAACTTTTGTAAAAGTAAACTCACTTTTTGTTCATCAGTCCAACCTTCACATTTTTTTTTTTTTTTTTTTTTTTCAAATATTGTTTCAAATCTTATGAAATACGCAGGAAATGTTATGCCCTCCTCTGGGTTAAATTTGAACTCGGTAATAGAATTAGCAATACCTTCGGCAGTGAATGACGAATTTACTGGATTCTTAAGTAAAATCGCTTCATATAAAGCCTTTGTGTCATTTCGCTGCTGAACTTGTAAATCCAATAGTTATTCCCGAAACAATTTTTGTTGCTCTTGTTGCTGAATTTGACTTTGAACTAGAGTTTTCGTTAATGCAATCAAATCTTCCATTATGCGTGATAGATTACACAAAACACTTTTGAAAACAGACAAAAGGAAAAACACGTATATATCCACAATAAGCACAAGTCTTACTTCTTTTTTGGCACGTTGAAATCCCATTTCTTCGTGAAGAACAAAGTTCGACATTTTTTTTTTTTTTTTCAGAGCGAGAAAAAAAAAATTTATATAGTCCACCTAGAGTTGAAAAATTCTCCACTCAGCGTGATGAACGAATCTCTCGTCGCCACTGTTATGATGTTGATTTGGGGTTAGTAGAGACAAACGCCAAATAAAATAACACGTAACAATAAAAAGGGTTTTAATAGGTTGGTAAAAAGGTACAGAAATCGCCTGAGTAGTCAATAACTAGCTCAGCTAAGAACTTCTCTGTCTTCTCCTCCCCTCATGTCAACTGACATGCCACTATTTAAAGTCTTTGTTCGCAGACAAGTTCATCTTCAAGACGGGTGGTGGGTTTCCGACATAACACATTCTAATTTCTATTTTCCCATCTTTACACCATATTAATTTTATCTTAAATTGTCCCCTGTATGGTCACCCATGAAATAATAATTGTTTGAATGGAAAATAAGGATCTACATCATTTTTAAATTAAATGGCAATTATCGCTGAACATTTAAAAGGTAAGCTTAAACATTAATCCAATACTTGAATGCAGCGATCAGTTTTAAGTTCTTCTGTAATTTATTGATGCCTATCACATATACTCCTCCCTAACTATTGTGATGATGGCCAAATTAAGAGTCCTCCACAGGAGCTAACTTAAATGTCAACCAATAGGGCGGCTTTTTAGCTAGGTTATAATGTACACTGCAATGTTGGATGCAAAAGGAAAATAAGACTTACTCACCTTGAACCATGAAAGCAATGATAATGGCTAGTGTTATGAAATCCTGCACAAATAAACAAGCAACGCCAGTAATTGAGATAGAAAAATAAGTGCATTAAACGTAAGAATACAGACTTGAAGTGAAAAATAGTAGTCCAGGAATGTGGGTTAGTAGAAAGTATATGTACAAGTCTCTGTAAGTAAAGCCATAATTAATTCATTCTCGCTCGCACGCACGCATGCACACAATGTGTTAATATATATATTTATAACCTGACAACCCTGAATCTGAGCTCATTGAAATCAGGCCAGTGGGAGTGGAGGAGTTGCTTTGGCACATATACTGTACTTTATATATAAGATGACTCTGTTCTGCACTGTCTGAACCTATGTCTGTTTTTTTTTTTTTTTTTTTTAATGTTATACAGCCTTAATCTTTAACTTTTTATACAATTGAAACTTTTATCATACCATTAAATTGGACTTGAATATACACTTCCAACGAGCCCTCAACCAACCTCTAATCTTTATCCAAACTGTAATTAGAGCAATTTTTGTACCTTGGGATAGCAATACCCAAATAAGTAAATCCCACCCCAAACCCCCAATTTTTGAGAAATTTCAGCTTTTATGGCCATATACTTCCAAAAAGACCTTTATCACTCATCAGAAACAGATCGGGCCAAGTTATACATCATCATACCTCTATTTCCAAAGTTAGCCCACTGTGTGTGGGAGGCAGTGTTTGCCATGCTGGTTTTCCAAAGTGAGGCCCCTCTGAGCTTTGGTTTTATAATTGTTTTACTGGAAGTGGTGGGATGTGCAGGTCTGGCACCTTGTTACTTAAGGCCTGCCTTCCCTCCCTTCTCCACATTTCCTTTTTGAGATGAACTTATGAAAACAGTCATTCCACAAACTCTCTTCTCACATAACTGATCCCTGTTTGGATTTGGGTCGCAAGATATGCAGTGTTTCGCAACACTTACTGGGCCGGACCAGCTTCTAGCTACCCTTAGAGTCTAAAAGGAATTTTCAACAATATATACATGTTTATAGTACTTACATTATGATACTGGTAGTTACTATAGTGGTTTTATAACTAATCCCTTTCCATCTATGGACAATCAGCTTTAACTGACCCCTATTAGTCTGTTGGTGAGAGGTTTGTGTATATATATATATATATATATATATATATATATAATGTGACTTGGTATCACAGAGCAGTTGTTTGTGTTTGTGTATATTATTGATTTATTAATAATTTTTCAGCCATCTTATGGAAAATAATTTTTTTATTCAATCTTTAAAAAAAATAAACTTTTTTTTTTTTTTTTTTTTGTAACTTACATAAAGTAAATTTTCAATCGAGTTTTAATAAAGCAAGAAAGTATAGCAAGCCATATTTTTTTTGAAAATTAATTTAAATAAGATATAAATTCCTAAAACAAATATTCAACACGACTAATAAGTCATGTCTGTCTCCCAAAATACAAATATAACTTAAAATTTAAACACTTTCAAAAGTAAAATTTCAATGTATCTTGCTTGTTTCTACTCTTTCAAATAGTAATTAAATTAATTTACAGAGAAATGTTTGCTAATGTTTAAAAGTAAAACTTTATTTACTTAAAAAAAATCTAAATTCCCCTCCAAAATAAATAGTAAATAATTATTTTTTTTAAAGTAAGGCTCGCTATAGTTTTTGCTTGAAAAAAATGATTAAATTAAATGTTTAAATATATCTTAAGTTTATTTCCTTTTTCATTAATAATTTGAAAAAGGTTAATGATCTTTTATCTAAGTTTGATTTGTTTGAAAACAACATTAACAGAATGTTAGTATTTAAATTGAAAAATGAAGTGTCTTTGAATAAAAATATGGGGATGCTAAGCTTCCTATGACCCCCCCCCCATTGGTATTGGTAGTGTGGTATTTTCCTAAATTTAGTTATTTTGTAACAAACCAAAACTAAATTGAATATCAAAAAATATAAATTCATTACCACTTGTGATTTTCCTTTCAATTATTGGCTGATTTCTATTCTCATTTAACTTCATTCTTACTGGTTTTATTTTTGTTGGAAGCAGGTTTGGGGGGGTTATGAACTGGTAAATGTACTGCAATTCTCCCTTTTTTCTTTTCTTGAAAAAAGATCAGCAACCAAAAATTACTACATTGTTGGTCCCCACGTCAACTCCACACTATTACATCACCTGTTATTTGGGATACTTCTCATGAGCAACTGGTAGCTGTTCATAATTCAAAGGTAAGCTAAAGTCATTATTTCAAGACTGACTTTAAAATGTACTATAAAAATATTTTATTCTTAACTAATTATTCTTTATGAATTAATAATTTGATAATTTTTCATGCTCATCAAGCATTTAGTATGTATGAAAATATTTTGCTTTGTTTTGTGCATATGTTTCTGAGGTTGCAATGTTCCCAGATAGATGAAAGAAATAGCAGAACATAAAATAAAAATATTGGTAATAACTATAGCAAAGCAGTGATTAACAAGCTAATTTTGCAAGTCATAAGCTCAATCTTATCTTCTCTACTATAAGGATTCCTTGTACATAAAATTAAGTCAGCAGAAATGGCAAATAATCAGTTTTCAGACCTAACAAAGAATGAACTTTCTCTGTTGTGTAGATATTATAATTGATCTATCCCCAGTCTTGACCTCAGTGAACAAAATGTTTTTGTTCTATTCAAACTATAGGTGCAATTTGAGTAAATCGATGTAATTTGAGAAAATTTGCTGAATGAAAACTGGCTTTTATGGCACAGGAAAGAAGTTTATAACTCACAAATTATTCCATATTTCAATCCTATACACCACATCATAAAGTTGGACAATAAGGCATTTAATGTTATAAACATTTTTCACTACTTGCTTTTAGTTTTAAAAATGTTAGATACTTCCAATGTTATAAATGTTAGTTTTTCATTTTCTACTTTAACCCATTAACGTGCACCAAAGAATCCTATATGAAATATAAAAAATTTTCAAAAAAAAATGTATTAATTATAGGTTTCTTGGAAGATAAAACAAAGATAAACTTCTCAATATGGTAATCTGAGTTCAAACAAAAGAAAATTTAAAATGGACTGTTACTACTTCCTTTACAGTTTCTACTTTTTTTAAATTGATTATTTTCATTGCTTTTATTTAACATTTATTCAAGTAAAAAGTTCTGAAATCTTTTACTCCGTGTTAATTCTGGATTTTACTATTCTGTTGCACACTTATTTTGCACTAGTGTATGTCCTCTTAACAAAATTTTTTTGTCAGGTAATTCGACGATGGACTTTAGAAGAAATGAACTTTGAAGAAGCAAAAAAGAAAAATGTAAGTGAATGCATTGTTTTTTTTTTGTTTTTTTTTTTAAGACTTTATTCCATTTAGATTTTATTTTCAAAAGACAGTTGTTCAATCCATGTTTAAAGACAATGATCTCTCTCTCCCAATACTTGTGAAGAACTGTTTGACTTTACACAACTTATTTTTTCTTTAGGTTGAGCAGTTAATCTACAAAGTATTTCCTGTAATGTCAGGTCATGTAATAGTTGTCTACCACAGCGGATGCATTGAATTTCTTGGGGAGTCCATCTGCTATAAAAATTTATTCCCAAATGAAGACCAATTAAAATGGTGTTGGGTCAATTCTGTTGAAGGCAAATTGACAGTGTTTTTCCTTACAAAAGTACCTAATGTAAGTTTTAATTATTAATTTTCAACTATTATTCTTGCTTTCTGCAGTTTTCTTCTATTTTTATTTAAATTCACTTTAAATTTCTAAAAATATTTTGTGTAAATGTTTCATTTAAAAATTGAATATATTTTTCAAATTATTCTGCAAAAATTGTTTAACTTATATTTTCCTTTAAAATTATTTATAACTGTTATGTCAGCTAGTTTCAAAGATGTTCTGAAGAAATTTGTATCTTATCAATATTCAAAATATAAAGTAACCACATGTATTAATTTATCTAAATGCATTATAAAATATTGATTGCTTTTCTGATTTTAGGGTAATCTGTTAACTTTGAGATTGGCATACTACACAACAGCCACTGACACTTGGGCAAGCAACAGCATTGAACTGCCAGTTTCTGAAGGAACATTGCTTGATTGCTGTTATATTAATAGTGACCAGACAAGCAGTACAGTTTTTTTCTTATGTGAGTAATTTTTTTCATGCTTCTTTTTGTCTCTTTTCTTTGTATTTTCAGTAAAGATTCCCTCTATTATCAGTATATAAATAACTGAATACACATTTGAGCTATGTGTCTTTTTTGTGTTAGGTACAAAGCATTTGAACTTTAAGCAGACTGTGGGAGGGGGGGGTCTTTTTTATTTTGCTTTTTTACATTTGCAACAAAATGCAGGGCGTTTATCAACTTTTTTTTTTCCTGTCCTATTAGGAGTTGAAAAAAGTTTGTAGTTTTTTTCTAATAGATGGGTCTTTTTTCTCAATCCTTGCAGTATCAAGTTTCAAATTCACAATACATTGACATTCTTCCGCTATTTTCTGGGGGGTTATTTGAAATCCATTTCTAATTCCACAAGTACACTGGATTTTATCTCTGCGTCCTTATTAGAAGTTAAACCCTCTATAAATATCAGGCATTTAAATAAATCAGGAGTTAATTTATTTAACTTGAACTTTTCACATTCTGGATTCACGACTCCTGCATAAGTGACAAAATCTTCATTTTCTATCTTCAGTAAGATAAGACATTGTCATCGTGTATTAAATAATGAACTTCCATTCTTGTGACACAAAAACGAACACCTTCTTGCAAACCTGAAACGAATGCGACACAAAAACGAACGCCTTCTTGCGAATGAACACTTTACGACAGCAAACGAGCAAAATGGCACCCAAGACTGTTGCCGACGGACGACCGACCGACCGCAATGGCTTGAAAGAAAAGACCCCAAACAACTCGCGTGTCTTCTTGTAGTCCTCGGTCAAGTCCATCATGGTACTCCAAGGTGTGCCCGGCGACAACACACACACGAAGTTCGAGGACGTTTCCGTGCATGCTCATTACACTCCTCCCTGATCTCTAGATCACACAAATGGCAATGTGGGGCAGGCCGTTTCTGCCTGGTGCTCCGTTTCTGGTATGGTCTCAAGCGCTTCCTCAGTGGTGCTCTCTTAAGACGTCTCGCTGAGTTCTTCCTGTGATTTTATATATACCATTGGGGCTTCATCATCAGAAGAAGAACAACTAACGTGGTTGCTGATGGAGTAATCCTTCCCACATGCTGGACACACATCTTTTATGTGGCGCAGTATTCCATCAACAGAGTGTGGGCTATTAATTTGTGTCACCGTACCCTTGTTGAACTGTCGTACACCTTCCGTGTGGATTTTTCACCCAAACAGTCTCTCCTACCGTATAAGGATTGGCAACTGTGTCGTCATGCACCAAAGCTGCGTCGATACTCTTAATGCAGACCCTGTAAGTGTAGGTTGCATTCGCTGGTGCAGTTGAAGCTGTTTTATTGCCCTTTGGGGTAACATTGTGCCAATATACAGCTTCCAAAACTGAACACCATGTTCTCGTCACGATGCGCTTTATTGTATGATGGGATCTCTCAAATATCGGTACATGGTACGTGGGCACAGCGAAATCGTATTTGTACATTCCACATCTTTGCAAACGCGGCAAACCTCTCTCCACAAAACGCTGCGCCATTATCTGTAAGCAGCTCAACTGGCGGCCCTCTTTCACAAAATACTACTTCCAGCTCCTTGATGATGCTAGCAGAGTCTTGGCGGTGCAAGGGCTTCCAAATGGCAAAATGATTGGGGCCGCAGTCTATCAGCGTCAGGTATAGTTCATGTCTGAAATGGGTTACATCCATCGCAACCCTGTGCCAATTTTCCACGACATCAAGCCTGCCCGGTTTCCAACGCACAGGGGCCGGGTTGATTGACCGGCATTCCTTGCATCCCCTAACCACCGCTCGCACCTCAACTTTTGTTGCTCTTGGGTTGATCAACTTCACAAAATAGAGCGTTCTCTTCACACCAGGATGTCCGCTGGATTGATGAATGGCTCATACTTGAGCAACATCTCACTCTTCAGCCACAGCGCACATAGGTTCTCTGGGTTCTGTTATTTTGCGCATTTCATTTAACCATCGCTGCGGTACTCTAGTAAGTTGGTCGGCTCGATTGTTGCATGACTTGACAAGCTCTACATCAATGTCCAGCTCATATTCTAAGGCCAACTCTTGGAGTGTGGCTAGCCAACGTCTGATTCGGAGGCTGCCTTGGTGCGCAGTCTTGTCCATCCAGACAGTGTCAGCTACCCAGTGATGCACACATGCTGAGTCTGTCCGTAAATGAATGGTTTTGGCCTTCCATTGTAATGCAAGGTTGACACCTTGCAACACAGTATCGAGCTCAGCCAAGTTGATGTGCCTGTCTTCGTGCACCGGTCGGAGCCAGCTTGCATCTTCTGCCACAGCGCCATTGCTCTCCACAACCACACCAGTGGCTAAGGAGCTTGCATCTACCCACATGGTTACATTTTGCTCACTGATGCACCAGTCACCTTTCACTGGATCGTCATGGGCTAGTCTCTTAAAAATGTCGTCAATCACCTGGGCTAGAAAAGGGTCCTGCACTTCATCATCCCATCCAATGGTAACAGTGTTTGCCCTCTGCTTCACAAATGCCGTGGCGACACGTAACCAACCGCATACAGGAAAATGATAGTCAACTTCCTGCACAGCGAGAAGACAATTCGACAGGTAAGTTTATCGGGAACTACCAGAAGTTCACATCCATGACGTCATCGCAGTTTTCCTTGCTCCTCCCAGGCATGCAATCCCAGTACGCGTGTGCCAATTCTTAGCCGCTCCAGGGTCTTACTTGACAGACCAAACTGCTCCAAATGTTCCTTGACGCGGACCACAGAACACACCCTCTCATTAACAAAAACATTATCAATATAAGAGGAGGAGGCTGCGTTGACAATCTCGTCCTTGCTCAAGACTGTGGCCCGCATGATTAAAGGGGCAACATTGAGCCCAAATCCTAAACGGGTTACACAATACCTTTGTCCCTTAATCTACACTGTTTGGAATGGCCAAAGGGGCTTGTCGATGTGTACCTGCAGATAGGCCCGGCGTAGGTTCAGCACTGCAACATTTGGTCCTTGCTGACACCATTCCCATAATTTTTGCAAACAAACATCTGCGTTGTACGCGTCAACGTACTCATTGAGTTCCCGATAGTCCATAATGGGCCGAACCTTCTGTGTGTTTTCCTGCAGAATGGCCATGAGGGGGATTAAACCCTTTGGGGGTCAGAGTTCCTCCTCCGGGCAAGGAAGCAGCCAGCCGTTATCTATCCAAATCTGGAGTTTCCGATCATACTCCTCCCGAATTTGTGCAGGAGCTGGATATTCTACCAGTCTATTTCTTAACGTACCCGGAGGTTGGTTGTCAGCCTATTTCCAAGATGCGGTCCACCTCCAAGCGGTCTCATTGAATTCTACTTTAAAGTTGGGCTCAGTAATGGTGATGGCAGCAACGACTGGTTCGACACACTGCGGAAACTTCACCTCTCCAGTGCCAGTTACAGATATTCCTCCCAACTGTTTGATAGCGTCTAGTCCGAGCAGGAAGTCAAATCCAAGCAGGTCTCCGTCCACGACTAGGGCTTCCATAGTGATGGACGGCTTTGCACCAATGCTAACTTGTACCACTCCGATTCCACAGCAGTCAAGTGCGCCTCCTTCTACTGTAAGCACGTGTGTTGATTTTCTTGTCCATGCACGACAGCATGACTTCCGGACTACTGTGTGCATCCTGTATCCACCCAAGACTGCTGCCGACGGACGACCGACCACAACAGCTTATGTCGTCCAAGAAAAGAACCCAAACGACTTGCACGTCGTCGTTTTGTAGTCCTCGGTTGAATCCATTATGGTACTCCAAGGTGTGCCCGGTGACAACACATACACGCAGTTCGAGGACGTTTTCATGCTCATTACACTATATAACTGATATATCTTCATTTTTTTTGAAGGTCAAAGAACATGTAGCAATCTTATTCTTTCTAAAATAAATTTCATAAAAGCTAAAGTACATTTAATTACAATTTAAGTTATATTACTATTCCTCACCCAAGGTCTAACTGCCAGTCAAGTAGAGGGTTACTGAGTGGGTATGTTGTAATGGTGTATAGGGAAGGGAGCAAGGAATGCCTGTTAGGATATGTAAGATAGATAGCAGTTGACACTCAATTTGAAGTGGTTAAGATTGTAATGATTAGGGTAGCATCCCTTTGTGAATCTGTACCATATTGCAACATTTCTAGGAAAGAAGCTCTCTCTTTACCAATGGAATATGAAGAGGATCAGGATGAGTCAACTCAATGTATTCAGTCTCAAGGGTCTGAGCTGTGAAGGTTTGAACTTGTGGAATCAAAGAATGTAGTTTGTCCAAACATCTGCCATTAAAATAACAGTAGAGTAGCTAGAGGCTAGCAATGTTCTATCTGTGAGAAAGAGGTTGAAGGGTGTAAAACAATTCATCACCCACAAGGCCATGCAAACACTTTTGAACCATACTGCTTTTGTATAATAGTTACCAAACTGAAGTTTTAGTTCATTTTTAATTTTTTTTTAAATATCAACACTAAAAATTAATGTATTTTAGTGAAATCCAAAGATGATCTTTTTTTTAATGTTTTTTTTTTTCAACTTTTGATGAAAAGGAAATTTTGCCCAGTGATAATTTAAAGATATTTTAATGATTCATTTTCTATCTGTTACTCTATTTTAAAAAACTAAGATAATATGAAAATCTTCATTTTGACAATCTACTTGAAATTTGCATATTTTCATTTCCCTCCTTTTATGTATTTCAATATTTTATGCATATATTATAACTTTAACTTTGTGTGTATATGGTATTTAAGCTTTGTAAATTTCATTGGGATTTGTGAACTGTAATATTTACGTGGCAGACAAAAAAAAACTTATTGCGGTATAAAAACTCTCGAGTAACCAGATTTGTACCTAATATCCATCATATATTTGATATTGAAACTTTTTCAAAAATATTTAATATAATTTTTCTATTTTGTATATTTATAGGGTCCAACAAGAACATCTTGAGAATCAAAATGGATCCAGAGAAAGATGCTGAAGTGAGTAAGATGTATGCTCTGAGTTCTGTGTCTTCTGAAGCTGCTTCCATTGTAAGTCTCAGTTCAACTCACATGGCCATTGTTCCAGTCAAGAAAAATGGACAAGGTATTTTCCTGCTACATTATTTTCCCAGATTAATTTGACTAACATTTTTAAAATAAGACATATTTTCATAGGAATTTTGAATACTCTTTTCAAAAATTAGTTTGAAGTATTCATAACATTTGAAAGGGTGTTTTTTTTTGTTTTGTTTTGTTTTTTTTTCCAATTTAAGCAAGGTTTTGGAGCTTATTTTATACGTATTGCATTTAAATCAAAATAGATTCAATAAAAGTACGTATTCAGCCCCAATTTTGTTTAAAACCACAGTAGTATAATCAGAAACAATGTCCTTATAAAAAGTGACATATAGATTCTCAACTGATTACAAAGATTTATGAAATCATTATCCCTTTCTCTTTGTCTTCATAAGCTAACATGCTAGTTTATATAATGGTGATGCAGCATATTATCAGATATCAAGATATGTGATCTTGTGTTAAAAAAAATAAATGTATACTGATGAGTCTCATGATTTTCATTATTTACATGTGATGCAGGTAACCTACAGAGAATTTCAAACTGGACACATTATTTAATTTATGGGGATTGTTCTCATTCCATTGCCCGTGTCTAAGGATATCTTCTTGACTTATTTTAGTACTGCTCTGTTATTAATTGTCCCATTTACAGAGTCTAAGTACACTGTTTGGCCCAGGGATTAAATTCATAATTACTGTCACCAAATTCACAAAACAACCTTTTAATCCCCTAGTCTATTGCCCCATGGAACAATTCTATGTGGAGCCTTAAACATAACCTGCCGGCTAATGAGTACTGCTATTTGGCTGTATTCATTGAAGCTTCTCTTTTCTCACAACTGCTACCTTACTGTCATCCGTTTCTTTATTAGCAGCTCTATTATCATATTTATTTCTATGCTAGGCCTATTAAGGAGTTCCTCATAGCCTAGCATATGCACTGATTCTTTCAAATGTCTAACTATCCAGGATGTTTTACATCATTCCATTCAATATCTGGGCAAGGCTTAAATTGAGTGGAAACAGGACAAACAATAACTGAACAGTGCTAAAATAAATACTAGACTAGACATCCCTAGATATGGGCAGTAAAATGAAAACTATCTATTCTTTTTAGATTAAATAAAAAGTTTGGTTCAAAATTCCTTGGAGGTTACTCAGATTGTCATGCACCTGATGAAGGCCAGATCGCAAAATGGCTGAAACATTGAGATAACAAGAAAGATAAATAGTGAAAATGACTACTCCTCATCTTAGAGATTCTCATAATATTTATATATCCTTTATATTATCAATTAATGTTCTATCCAATCAAATATATTTTCAATATTTTGTGCAGTTGATCTTATTGAATAGATACAAAATATGTGACTATAATATACAATAAATGTGCTAACACTGTGAAAGTATATTGAGTCTCTCTGTAAAGAAATTTTTAAAAAATTTCTCAATTTGACTCTTGTTAATCCTTTGCCTGTCCAGTGCATTTTCATGTGTACTATCCAAACATCCATGTTTGTTTTCAGATGTATAACTCTTGCAAAGCAGCTCAGCTTATTTGACAAATAGAATATGCTGATATATTGTTTCACATAATAAAAACCTGTGCATCACATTTCAATAAAGTGGGAAAATAGATGTCTTTCATTTGAGACCTTACATTATCAGTCAAGCATCCTTTGGTCATATATGATGCACAAATTATTAGATTAGACTTTTCCTTAAACATCCTGCTCAATGGTAGACTCTTTTCTTAAATGTCCTTAGTTTTACCACTTTTTTAAAATCATGGCTAATGTGCACCACATATGATGCATGGATGTGGAAATCACATGTCTTGTACATCCCATATGATGTGTAGGACAGGCAAAGGGTTAATCTGTCATCTCTAATTTCTTTAAAGTTCATAAGATTTTGATTTGCATCTATTTAAAGGTTATTTTCATTTTAAAACAAGAATGTGTTTATGATTTCAGAGATTAAATCCTGACCTGACATTAACCATTTTGTTTTCTCTCTGCATTGTGGCATTATGCCTAAAGAGTGAAACTATTTTTTTTTGTTTCAAAATGTCTTCAGAAAATTCTAAATTTCATATAACTGTTGAAATCAAAATCCAAATTGCTGGTTTTTATCAAGCAGAAAATTTTTATCTAGATATTCACAAACTTTAAAAATCCAAGTATATCTAGAGTTCATTGACTATCATTCAGAGAATTGTCCATGCATTTCAACTGACAGATTCCATGGTATGGAAAGTAGGTTCTAGAAGTGATAAACCAAGATGACAGATGATTGAAAATTATTCCTGAAGTATCATAAAAACTCTTACTTTTAAAATTGGCATGAGAATTTACAAATTAAACAAAAGAAAAAGCATCTTTCAAGAACAATAACTTAAAGAAAACTGAAGATGATTTTTCATCAAAGCAGTATGCAAAGAAACCATTGCTGTCCACAAAGAATGTACCAACTCAATTTTTTCTTCACTTCTGGGCCACCTTAATACTCTGGTTTCAGCATGAGTCACACTTTGAGCTATTTATCAAGGCTACCAGTCAGATCATATATCCACTTCAGAATGCCTAATTACCAAAATTAAACTGAGTTGATGATATGGGAGTTTTCTACTTCTAGCACTGGAATTATAAAAATGACAGAAAAGAGCTGCTTCCAATTCTGAATAAGTTTTATGTTGGAAATACAAAGCAAGAAATCATTTTTGATACAGTACTCCAATATGCACATTAAAAACAACAAAAAATAATCTGTGGTTTGAACAGCAATCCTTGTCCATAATGTTTTGGCCAGAAGAATGTGCATTTTTAGGTCACAATATTATCAAAATAATTATATGAAAATTTGGTTTTCTTATTTAAAAATGCAGATGGTGTGGGAATATTTGATCTCCAGTTTGGTACCCTGAATGCATGGCAACTATTACCACAAAAACTAAAGACCCATCCTAAGGTCAGTTCTACAGTTTTTCATGTTTTTTTTGTTTTTTAATTTATTCTTTGATCTATATAATTTTTAGTAAAAAGGATTCTTAAAGTGTTTACACTTCTTTGTGCAAATAAACAACCTATTCGGAATTGTTCATATATGTCGACCATTACAAAAATGAGATTGTATACATTATTGGATTATAGGTAGAAACCTATACTTGGTACCAGACTTTATTTTTTATAATAATACCGTATTTCTATTTTAATTTTTATAATTAATAGTTTTAGTTTAATTGTTTTTTTTGTTTTTGTTTTATTCAATACTTTGTAATAGACTAAAATACCTTTCTTTCATAACTTTTTATTAATTTATATTTTGAACTATTTCCATTATTGTTTTATCTTCTAATGATTCTGCTTTCAGCTTTTCTGCAGTAACAGTCATTTATTTATTGCTTGTGATAAGATGTTGTACACATATGCATATGAGTTGCAATCTTTCACATTGTCCAATCTTCTGTGTAATACACAACAGTTGGCAGATGATGACCATCTTCTACAGACTATACCCATGGTCACATCCTGGAATACCAATGAACCAGTAAGTTAGTCTTATTTTATTTTAGGTTGTTTGTTGCACTATCAGTAATATGAATTGTGTTCTTTTAAAAGATAACTTACAAAAGATTACACTTTAAATTTATTATAAAATATGGAATTGGTTGTAACTAGGTCCTTGCATGCAAGTGATTAAATCACCAGTCATTTTCCATGCTCATCAGCTGGAACCTGTAACATGTAGACTTAACAAGGCTAGTTGACTCCACCCAGTAGATTGCTACAATGACATGATTAAAGAAGGACAGGGATGCCTGGAGATATGAGAAAAGTGAGATTCAGAAAATTATGGAAAATAATAATTTTATAGAAGAATGAAGAAATCAGATCCATGTGACCCGAGTATTTCACTATAACCTCCTCTCCTAGACTTAAAATGAGTTTTATGATAGCAAAAAATCCACACATTTGAACCTATCATGCATGTATTTCAAAGTTTTACTTTTTGAGCAGGTTCTAGTTTTTCTAACTGATCTAGCTCAAACGAATTTATTGTGTCAAGTTTTATCTATCTGCATAGCAATACCTTGGCTACCATTTTACGTGAGGCAGCAAGTGGGAGAGTATATGATGCAACTATCAGGGAATCATATCAATAACAAACATCTACTTTTGAAACACAAAACAAGTAGGACAAAGGAGTTGTGATAAGAACCTCTTTAATATTAGTTAATGCTGTCTGTTACCAAAATTGTCACTCTGAATGCTGAAAACTGAAAATATATATATATATATATATATATATATAATTGGACACCACCATCAAGATATGGTCATCTAAAGGAGTATTGAACAAGAAAAGAAATGTGTAAGATGTGGGGAAATAGAACCAAATCATGATGATACGTTTTGGTTGATTTTTTTTTTTTTTTTTTTTTTTTACATATTGTATCAACTGTAATCGAGATCACAGAGCCGATGCTAAAGTATGCAAGATCTGGGGGGAAAAGCTAAACAAATAACAAGACTGAAAATCACTCGAAACATTACATTCCCAGAGGCAAGAAAACTTATAGAAACCTCTTTCTCTATACAAAATGGAAAAATCAACAAAGCACTACCAAATGAGAATCTAGGAAATAACTTGACAAAAAAACAAAACAGAAACACAATTAACAGCATTAATAAATGAATTGCAAGATCTCATTAAAGCCTTAAAAACCAGCATAACAAATATGAAATATCTCTCACTACCAAATTAAACCATAATGAAAGGGAAAAGAACGAAACACAAGTCAGTAAGAAAAGATATAGGTCTATTTCAAAGATGAGAGAAAAAGACAAAAACCAACCCAAAATATCCAAACAATGACAAAGGAGAAGTCTGAAAAATTTAAACAAATGAAAATCCAGATGGATTCTACACTCTCAATCCAGATGGCATAAAACAAAAATCTTACAATGGAAAAAAAATATGAATACTTAATACAAAAACCAAAAACATAGTCATCTTTAAGATCCACTCACAAAAATAAAAACAATTACAACTCAAATGAACAAATGGGACGCAAGCATCATACAATGGAACTGTAGAGGTGTTAAATCAAACTATGAGGAAATGAAACAATTCCTTACAGATTACAATACAAGTATAGTCTGCTTATAGGAGACATTTCTCAAAGAAACTGACAACATTTCCTTTAAAGGATATGAAACTTACCACAAAATAAATGTATCAACAATAGAGAATAGGCTAAATGGTGGTAATTCAATATTGGTTTTAAAAAAAATCAATAGTCCGTGAAAAACTACAATTAAATATTAATTTACAGACCATGGCAGTAAAAGTTTCAATTCATCGAACAATAAATATATGTTCAATTTATATTCCTTCAAAACACACTGAAATAGAAAGGCCAATTTCCCCACTCCCTTTCTACTAATTTCTAGCAAAATGTGGGGCTGTAGGAAGCCCAATCAAACTAGTAAAATTATAGAATCTCTATTAGAATTATCTGATCTATGTATTCTTAATAACCAAATGCACACATACCTTTACCCAGGTACCGGATCAACATCAGCCATCAACCTAACCATATGCTCCCCATCAATTTTTATGGAGTTTCAATGGAAAGTTCATAATGACCAATGCAGTAGTGACCATTTACTTATTTTCCTAATTATAATCAAGTCTATGCCAGAAGAAAGGAATTCAAAATGGCAACTACACAAAGCTAACTGGCCAAAATTCAATGAACTCTGCTCATCCCAAATGGAAATTCTCAATGAACCAGAACCAATAGTCTCATTTACAAACAATACCTAAATCTTCCTTTAAATCACATATCAAATCAAAACCCTGTTTCACAGCAGAATGCAGAGAAACAGTTAAAATCAAGAAAAAAATGCTAAAGATATTCTTACACAAACTACAAGCTCAAGCAAAAGCATGCCATATAATTAAAAAATCCAAAAGAGAAACTTTGAAAAAGTACATCTCCAAATTAAACTACAAAACCCCAATAAATAAAATATGAGAAATAATAAGGAAAATTAATGGGAAAACATCACAAACTGCAACAGTCCATTTAACTAAAACAAATGGAGATAAATGCACTGGAAAAAAAAAAAAAAGAAATAGCTAATTTAATAGCCACAGAATTTCAAAGAAACTCCTGAACAATTCACTGTCCTGGGTATGATGATACACTGCATCCAGCAGCAAGGCCTCTCATCAGGAGGTCTTGAGAAGTATGGAACCGCCTTTTAGTTGCAGTTGTTCCCGGGTCCACCCTGACCTGGGATGGTAGCACCTGTTAGGGTCCCAGCTATGAAAAATAAAGAAAAATAATACTCTATTAATTCAAGTGATATCCAAAAAAGACTCAGAGAAATTGCTAAAAATCAAGCAAATTAACAACAATAAAGTCAAGGCCTACTCCCATCAATTTCTTAATTCAACAAAAGGAGTAATAAAATGCCCAGAACTGTCACTTTGTTCATCAGAATAAATTGAAAATGACTACACCCTAAAAAAGCAAGGAATAACAGATGTTAAAAGAATGCAAGTAAAAAAATGACACAGTAATAAACACTTTTGACATTCAACAAACCGACTCTACCAAAAGAAATAAAGATAAGTTACACAATAGCCAAGGTAGTGCCGTACATTCTTAATCCCCATAGATGTCAAAAATTTGGTAATCTTCAAAATGTTTGTGCGAGAACATCAGTCCATCAAAGATGTGGGGAACTGGAGACTGAACATGATGAGTCATCTTGTGAAAGGCCTCCTTTATGTCCAAACTGTAAAGAAAAACCTCCAGCAAACTCCAAAGAGTGTAACATTTGGAAAAAGGAAAAGAAAATACATGCAAAATATCTCATTCCAAGAAGCCAGGAAACAGGTTGAATTTAATTCACTTCAAGCATCATATGCAAATATCACTAAAATATCAAATCAACAAAAAGACATCCAAGAATACAATGCATTAAGAAGCCAAGCTCTTATAACTCTTATGAATGAATTAAAAAGTTTAATAGAACTACTAAAATGTAGTATATCACACATAAATCAAACATCCATAGACAAAAAAAATCCTGACCCGTCAACCTCAAACAAAAGTCTCTACATGTATAAAACAATTAAATCCAAAAATTCCAAACCATAGTACAAAAATCCAAGAAATAGAAACCTTTAAACATTCTCAAGAGAATCAAAAGCTACGTAAAAAATTTAACACAACTTTTAGTGAAGAATCAAGAGAAACAGACATAGAGGAACAAAACTTTAGCCCATCACAAACAAGGGAACGGTCATAAGCCATACAAAGATCATTAAAAGAACCTAATGGAAAAACTAGAACAAAATCAGTAAAGGAATATTACCAGCAATGTGTTTTTGGAAAAGTTTTACCGGCAATATGTTTTTGGGAAAACGTTACCGGTAATACATTTTTGAAAAATATTACTTGCAATCGATTTTAAAAGGAAAGATATTGATAGAAATAGTTTTTTAAGAAAAATATTACCAGCAATAAAAATTGTTGGCATTAAATAACCAATTGAGGTTGATATGCCGTAAAACTCAATAAATCTGAACAATTCAGTACACTACCAAATTTCAAAAATATAAAAATATTATGGAACAAGAAAAACTTATATTCATTTCAAACAAAGAATACAATATTCTTTTTACTATGACAGAACTAAAAGACTCCATAAACAAAACTAAAACTCTGCAACTGGACCTGATGGAATCCATTACCAGTTTTTAAAACCCCTGCTAGAAAAAATGTCTCTTTTAATGCTTCTCCAGATCATCAATGCTATATAATGTTCAGACAAATTTCTAAAATTATGGCTTGAGTCTGTCATCACTCAATTTCTAAACCCAGCAAAGACCATTCCAACTCAACAAACTATCGACCCATTACACTAACAAGTTGCATTTGCAACATGATGGAGAGAATGGTAATGTCATGCTTGGAGAGAAACGATCTCTTATCTAGTTACCAAAGTGGATTCCAGAAAAACCAAGGCACCAATGATGAACTTTTATAACTAAAATTCTTTATTCGTAATGATTTGTTCAAGGTCATCATGTGGTATCAGTATTCTTTGATCTTGAAAAAGCCTATGCAACCAAATGGAAGTATGGTTTCCTAGATGACATGCACGAGATGGGAATTTCATCCAAAACTTCCTATCAAACTGAACATTCAAAGTACAAAATGGAAACAACATCAGACATGCACGAGCAAGAGTACAAGGTAGCATTTTATCTATTCTCAAAATAAATAGTATTATTACAACCATTAATACAGGAATTGAAAAATGCCTATATGTAGATGATTTCTCAACATCATACTCATCACCAAACATGGCTTTCCTTGAAAGATATATACAACAGAGTTGGTTGGTTTAGCAATTAAATTTCGGTATCGGTTTCCGGTTTTGTTTTCCTTGATACCACGGTTTTCAGTTTGGTTTTTCTGTTTTTAATTTAGTATTTTTGCTTTCTAAGGAAGCCATTCATTTTCTTGTGTAATGATAGCATTTCCAGTTGATATCTTATTTTGTTTGAGATTGATAATACTTAATCCATTCAACTCGCAATATCTCATGTATTTTTGGTCCAATCTTAAAAATATTCATGTGACTGGAAAGAAAATAATATAATATTTCTAAATATGTAATTTGTATGTGCTTTTATTCATTGAATTATTTTTTACAGCGAGTTAAAATGGTATTGCTTCAACCAGCCAAGAATGCAAAATTTTTTTTTTTTTTTTTTTTTTTTTTAGTCTAAATTTTACACATTACTTTGTTTCACAAAATCAAAGTGACCAGTCTTTATCAATATTCTTGAAATTGTACACTCAATTAGGAGACAACTTAAACTACAACTTAAACTACAACCAGGAAGATGTTCATTTCTTCTCTGATCCGAAGAAGTGATTTCCTTCAAAAATTATAAAGTAAGCAATAATTAAAAAAAAAAGAAAATGGCAATTTTTTTTTTTTAGTACGCCAGTCAACTATTATTGGGGTTTTGCAAATAAATTTCTTCTAAACAAGGAAAATCAATGAGTTATTTTTCCCCGCTAAATAAATTTGTTTTTATCTAGTGAATACACCTAAAATTAAATATTAGAATAATTAAAAGCTTTTAATTTCATTTTTAGAATGTGTAGATTTCCAAATCTGCAAGTAGCACTTGTTCTTTTTTTTATATACACATTTTAAAACTGAAATTAAAAACTATTTTAATCATTTTAATATAATCTTAAGTGTATTATTTGCCTTAAAGTAAAGATTTTTGTAAAAATAAAATGAATTAATTTTTCTTGTTTAGAAGAATTTTATATGCAGAGCAGTAACAAGCACCCACCGACCACTAGTGGCTAAAAAAGACTAATCTTTACTTTGGGTTTAAAAATCACATAGCTCACATCTATTATAACCACAGGTACCTGATTCTCTTCACATGGACTGACTTGGTGTGATTTGATATCCGACAAAAATATGTTCCATTGTTAAGCATTAAATGCTATTAGACCTAGGCTGCTGTGAATAGATAATTGTACATTGCATGATGAATATTTCAGTTCAAGTTCATACCATTGCTTACAGTTTGCTCTCTGATAGCTGGTGATTGGTCACTGATTCCCATATGGTCCATGTTCCCAGCTGTTTTTTTTTGTTTGTTTTTTGTTTGTTTTCTTTATCTGTTACTTTGCAGCTTCTGGTATCTGCTGTATTTGCTACTAGCTGATGCCTTTCTGGTTATGCTAAACTGCTCACATGATTTCTTACATCTGTACCATGTTCTCAATTTAATTTATCTCATCCACTATCTTCCATTTGTTCCCAGTTCATGTATTAGGCTGTACATCCCAGATAAGATTTTGTTTTTTGTTTTTTTTTGTTTTGTTTTTTTTTTTTTTTGAACTCTCTGAGTATAAGATAATAAGATGTGCTTAAAATAAAGTTTTTCTTCCAATGGATTGTGGGCAGGGGTGTTTAAATATGCATATTTATGCAGTCATGACTTTACAGTATATATTTAACTTTTTTAATAAAAAATTATTAATATTATATAAACATAATGTTAATATATGTATGAATATTATTAAGCAAGATATGTTTTTACTGCTAAATTAGTTTAATAATTAGTCATTTGAAATGCAAAAAAAACAATGATGAATCCTGTCTTTCATTAATTACTTAAATGTTTAAAACCTTACAAATTGTGCCATCAATGCTGCCATGCTGTTTTTTCTTTATTATGCTGATTTAATTATAAAAATGTAGTAATGAAAACTGATTATATATAATATATATATATATATATATTGTCTAATTTTCAATTCTGCTATCTTTTTATAGTTGCAAAATAAAATCAATGATGACGGTGGAATTCTTATGATGTTTTCCAACATATTTAATAAGTTGATTGTAAGTATAATTCTATTGTTCATTAAATTGAAGTTAGAATAATCTATTTTGTAAGATAAGCTTTAAACATTGTTAAATTATTTTTTGTATCTTCAAATACTGATTCTTATTTTGTAGACTTATTTCTTAGCAAAGGTCAAAAAATTTGAGTTCTGTATATTTACAACTAGCAGTAGAGCCTGGTGTTGCCCGGGGATATAACAGTAAGAGATAGATCAAGTATCCACCATCATAAAGACTGAAAAATAAAATTGACAAAGATTATTGTTTAAGGTTGACAGACATGCATGTCTTAATTAGTTTTTTTTTTTTTTTTTTTTTTTTTTTTTTTACGAATTGGTCAAACTCAAACAAAAACATTGTTTTCCATCGTTATGAGTCTCCTGATTGAATAATTTTATAAACAATTGTCTTGTAAATGAAATTTTTAAAGCATTCTGAATGTAAAAATAAAGAAAAAAGTGTGCAAGACAATAAGAAACACTACATGCCAAAAAAAAAAAAAAAAGTGAAGTTTTGTTGAAATCGGTTGAAAATGAAGTTTTGTTGAAATCGGTAGCCTTTCTGTAATCTTTTAGTTTTACAATTTATGATTTTTACTTATTGAATACAGTAAAAAAAATTGCATATTTTGCTTGTGATTCATAATTAGAATTCTGATTTGAATATATTTTCCACTCGTTGTTTCTAATACAAAATATATTAACTTTATTTGGGTTTATTAATTATGATCTAACAAATCTTATTCATTTAGTAGCCTTTCTGTAATAATAATCTTTTTTAATAATTTATGATTTTTACTTATTGAATACAGTAAAAAAATTGGACACCATGTGTATTTAAAGTAGTTTCCCGTTCGGTTATTATTTTTAGTTAGGACTTGTGTATGTTTAGATTTCATTATCTTTCCCTAAAGATAAAGAATTTATTCGATGTTTGTATTCGTAACAATCAGTAGAGATCATTAGATTATTGTTTAAGGTTGACGGACATGCATGTCTTAATTATTTTTTTTATTTTTTACGAATTGGTCAAACTCAAACAAAAACATTGTTTTCAATTGTTATGAGTCTCCCAATTGAATAGAATTTTATTATAAATAATTGTCTTGTAAATGGAATTTTTAAAGCATTCTGAATGTTAAAAATAAAGAAAAAAGTGTGCAAGAGAATAAGAAACACTACCTGCCAAAAAAAAAAAAAGTAAAGTTTTGTTTTATCGTCTGAAAAATATAGGAAATCTGCTCCCATATTTAAAGGAACCCACACACACAAACAGCCTGATGTGAGTTGTCCCCCTTCCATTTTCACAATGTCTCTTAATCGTGTTTTCAAATTGATTTTGTGCAAAAACAATTATATTTTTCCCATTTTTGGCACTGTTAGAACCACCACAAGGTAATTTTATGTAGTCCTGTGAAGTTTTGTTGAAATTGGTTGAAAAAGTAGGAAATCCGATCCAATATATAAACGTTACAGACACACACACACAATCTGCGTTTTATAATAAGTAAGATTTTTGAATAAAGAAAATAAAGCTTTTAAAATGAACATTCATTATTTGTTGAAATTGCAGCAAATATATCCTTAAGGAAATTGTTTATGTTCAAAACAGTATCCATATGTATCCCAAACTACCCTACTATGAAAATATATCAAAATAGTGAACTTTTCCTTCAATTTCAACTGCTGATATCTGCTGCTTTTTTTTTTTTTTTTTTATTAGGCTATTTTGATAAGATTAGTATATAAACAAAATTTTCTCTTTATAAAGATAGTTTTTTGTGATGTGATGATTAGTTTTTATTCCATGTTTTTATATATATATATATATATATAAATTATGTCACCATTTCTAAAATGGGCACTATTTTTTCTGTTCAAAGCAGATAATCTCATAGTGGTGCTTTTAAAAAAATTGTTGCTCTCTAAGTTGTCTCCCTACACATATCAAAATAGTCCTACCCTTAACGAAAAAAGGACACTCATCAATCTGATGGGATTAAGATAGTTTGAAGTTGTCTTTTACAAAATATTTCTAAGTTGAAAACTTTATTTACAAGTAGACTATTGTGTTCATCTTTGTTATATGCACACATTTTGATCATTGTGCCCTTCTGCCTTCATTAGGTCTATGTTGATCCAGGTAACCTACAAGGAATTTTGAATTGAAGCCTTTATTTAATCTCTGAGATAGTTATGTACCATGCATGATACATGCTTAGGCAATCATGTATCGTTTGATACATGACTGACAAGGCAGATTTGTCCTTCTTTTATTATTAATGGCTCTCAAGCTGTTGAGCAACCACACCAGGATTGAAGTTTTGAAAATGAAGAGATAGAAGCCCTGGCATTACCAAAGGTTTATAATCTTGGAATCTTTGGAGAACATTCCAATTATAAACTTATATCTCCTTTTGTATTTGAAAAGATCATTTCAGCAAATTAAGAAAATCAAAAATGGAACATTTCTTGTTGAGGTTGAACAACTTCTTTTTATTAAAAATGAAAAATTTTCACACAAACGGAATGAAAACATACCCACATGAAACCCTGAATTCATGTAAAGGATTTGTAAGAAGTTGAGAACTCTCCCTTTGCACAATAGATGAAATTGAGAGCTGAAGAATCAAGAAGTAAAGGTGGTATAAAAAGGGTCAATCAAAAGAAATGACCAAACTATCCTAAACACCTATATTATCACATTTAATGTCCCCAAAATCCATGAAAGGCTTAAAATTGGATATAGTATGGAAAGAGTTGAGCCCTACATTCCTAATCCCCTGAGGTGTTATGATTGCCAGAAATTTGGGCACCATGAGGACAAGTGCTCATGACAAATGGTATGTCCAAAGTGTGAATACAGACTCCAACCAACCACCAAATTGTAGAGGGGAGCACTCTACATATTCAAAGAAGTGTGAGAATTGGAGAAGAGAAAAATAGTCTTTCAATTAAATTTACACAGAATATATCCTTCTCGCAGGATAGTACAAACCAAAACAACATACAGTGAAATCACAAAAATAAAACCCGAAATGAATGAATCTCAAGGGGAAAATAAGTATATGGCCATACTTCAGGAATTGCTGCCACTAGAACCAGACCACTGTCCTAAACTTATAAAAGAAATAAGAGCAACCTTAGAACCTGAAGACTTACCATTATAAAAAGCTTTCACAAGCCAAACATCAAAGGAAATAAATAATGAAAATGTAGCCTTATATATTAAGTTGAAGCTACCAACCAGAGAACACCAGGTCACTAAAAGTAGGAATACAAGTTTAAAAAAAAAAAAAGCACTAACTCAATCAGGTTGCTCAACTGAAAGCTCTTCTCCACCCACTTCTAGAGGAAGATCTACCCCCCACCCCCAAAAAAGGAAACAGAACAAATATTACAAAGAAAGTCACATCAACATTCCTCCTCAAAAACAAATGAATACCAAAACATGAAAAACCAAAAATAGGCATAAACTGCTCAAGAAAATGGACACCAAGAACATACAAAGCAAATAAACCCCACTGTTTTCCACCATGGATTACAAAATCATAAAGTAGAATTGCTGTGGGATAAAACCCAACTTTAATGAAGTCCTTATACTCCTGGCAACCTTGAACACTTCTATTATCAAAATGAAAACATAAAAATTAAAAAAACTACACATCATATAATTTTATTTGTAACAGCAGTGATAGAGCTTCAGATGGCACCTCTGTACTACCAAAAAATGAAGTACCCCCAAAGCCAGATTGCCTTGAAGACTACAAGCAGTTGTTACAAGAGCCTCCTTTCAAAAAACTATCACTATATGCTCCATTTATAATCCCCCCAATAATTTCATAGATGAAAATGCTTTAGATAATCTACCTAGACAATTCCCAAAACTATATATCCTAATGGCGGATTTTAATCTGGTGTTGCAAAAACGCCAATAAGAAAGGCAAACATGGAAACCTTCATAAATAGGAACAATTTATGTTTACTCAGTAATAATGCATACACTTAACGTCACCCTGCAAATGGCACATACTCTGCAATCAACCTAACTCTAAGTGATCCCGTAACATATCTTTAGTGTAGTTGGAAAGTCTGATATCTACGATAGTGACCATTTCTCAGTTGTATTAGTAAATTCTGACCACTATTGGATGAGAAAACTCCAAGTGGAAACCTTAAAAAAGCAAACTGGTAGGTCTTCAAAAACTTATGCTTACTCAAACTTATACCAGAACTCAATACAAATCAAAAAGATCATATCACCAAAACACTACTAACAATAGGAGGATGATCCATTAGACTGTTGTGCTGCTTTCTGCAAATTTAAACTGCATCCAACAAATGAAAACCTGAACTCCAACAAAATAAACAGAGCTATAACACAAAGAACAATAAAAAAAATTCTAAACAAACCTGTTGGAAGAAATTTATATCCAACATCAACAACAGCACCAAAGCCCAAACCATTTGGAATATGATCTGGAGAAACAAAGAAACCTGTAAACACTTATCACAAAACAATATGAAAGCCACAAACAACAAAGATATTGAAAACCTTCTAGCCAAAAACTGTTCCTGAAATAACTATAGTGTACACTTTCAGAATATTAAAAGAAGAAAAAGTTAAACTTCCATTCAAACAACATGGAAGATTACAACCAGGCTTTCTCTATTTCTGAACTAATTGACTCTCTAAAGAAATCATACAACTCCAGCAGTCAGTCTTGATGAAGTTTATTATGAACTCTTAAAAAAAAATTGCCACTTACTTGAAATATACAATAACATAGGGATTAGTGGCAATATTCCCAGTCTTTCAAAACAAGCCATCATTATTCCAATCCCAAAGACTGGTAAAGATTTGAAAAATCCTTCAAATTACTGCCCAATTGTACTCATTAGTTATCTGTATAAAACTATTGAAAGAATAATAAACAACATATTCACTTGGTTCATCAAAGTCAATATTATTTCAGATTTTCAGCCCAGCTTCAGAATGAATATAAGCCCAATAGACCAACAAATCTGACTAGATACATTTATTAGAAACACAAATACTAAAAAGGAACATGTAATGGCAGTTTTTATGATTTAGAAAAGGCCTATGATACCACATGGTGATATGGTGTCATGCAAGACCTAAACAAAATGGGCCTTGAAGAAAGATTGCCATCATTAATTTCCTTACAAAACACATCTTTAATGTCTTTCTTAGCAACACACTTTCTGATTTACATAACCAAGAAATGAGAGTACCACAAGGAAGCATCCTACCAGTCTCCTTTTTCAATATAAAGGTTAATGGTATAGTCAAGTGACTAATTCCTGGAGTAGGCTTCTTGATGCTATAGGTAAAAAAATATCCAGACAATTGAGTGCCAACTTAAACAGTGCCTCAAAGTTAATAAATGGACTACAAAAAATAGGTTTGTTTTCCAAAATGAAAACACAATGTGGGCATTTTTGCCAAATTCAGAAGCTGCATCACAACTATGACTTAAAACTTGATAGCTCAACTATACCTGTGGTAGATCAATACAAGTTTCTAGGTGTTATATTTGATAGAAAGTTATCATTTATACTCCACATAAAGTACCTCAGAACTAAGTGCATTAAAGCAATTCAGTTCAACTGTGGTTGTTTCATTTATGGTGTTGTAAGGAAATTTTACCTTAGAGAGCTTGATTCCATCCACCACTATTTCAAAAAACACACCCTGATTAAGGATTCACATGATTACATGGAAGAAATCTATAATATTTTACAAGCACACTCAAATTATAAACACATATACACTGATGGCTCTAAAATCTTGGACAGTTGGATGCTTTGCTTAAATGTATAACAATGCAGAAAATATTGCCTGACAAAGCCTCAATCTTCAATGCAGAAGCCTCGGCCATACACTTAGCTTTTGATATTATAGAATCCAGTGGGTCAGGCACATTCATCATTTTCTCAGATTCACTATCTGTACTCACAGCTCTGAAGAATAAAAACATGGGAAACCCCTTAATAAATAAACTATTAAATAGGATTGACTGTATTTATAAGAAAAAATGCTATAATAGACCTATGCTGGATACCAAGCCATATTTGCATACAAGGAAATGGAAAAGCTAACAAAATGGCAAAGGAATTACTGAACATGGCCTTATCAAATGTAAAGGTGCCACACACCAACTTCTGACCCACCATAAACAGGACCATTAAAGAAAAATTTCAGCAATTATGAAACAACTGTGTAAAAAATAAACTTAACATCCAACCAATCATCAGTGAAAGACTGTCAAGTTACAGAAAGATAAGGAGAGAGGAAATGGTTCTAGCCAGACTCTGTATAGGACACACATACATAACCCTCTAATATCTACTAAAAAATGAGGAACAGCCAATATGTGTCCCATGCCAGGAACCATATATTGTTAAACACATTCTACTAAATTGCTGTAACTTTCAGCAAACCTGAAACAAACTCTACAAATTGGATAATTTAAAAAACCTATTTGAAAATAATGATCCAAGTAACATAAATTTCATTAAAGAAATTAGGCTCTACAGGAAAATTAAAAAAAAAAAATCTCTTTACCAAACCAGCTTATCTATATTGTTTTGCAACCAATTTTATACAACCGACAATACACAAGGGAAAAAAAAAACTCAAGGAAATTTTTCCTCTATATATTCCCCTGCTCCCAAACAGAAATAACTCAAATTATTCACCTGAAAACCTTCGTCGGCATTAAATGAACCACTTGGGTTGATGTGCTGCAAAACGGATCAATCGATTTAATGAAACAAAGGAAGGAAAAAAAATGACTAAATTTTAGTTCCAACCAAAAGTAGAAATGATTATTTTTGATTGCCTTTGTTGGATGTGTCAACATTTTGTCTTGAAATGGAACATTGATATAATACCACTTTCAAGTGATGATAGGGTATGAAGTGTTCCAGGAATATTGGCTATAACAGAGGCTTATAAACAAATGGATTTTAGATTATTTGTAATATTTGGCTAATAATATCAAACATGAAAGGATAAATATATCTTGAAAAATGAAACAAGATTAATCAATGTTGTAGAATATTTTTCTGTCTTTTGACTAAAATTTGTTTATTCTAGTTAAATGGAGATAATGCAAAACAGCTTTTACTGTTTCCCATTTATGAATTGGTCTTTATTTTTCCATTAACAAGTCCTAATTAATTTATGAAAATTGAAAATATATAGGGTTTTGTTAGGTTTTCAATGTTTACCAAATAGCCATAACTACTACTTCATAAGCTAGATTCAAGATACAAGTAAAATTAATAAAAATACTCTTAAGTGTATATTTGCCTTTGAGATATTTGACATAATTTATAATTTTTAAATTGTCATAGAAAGTTTAGTATCATTTTTCATAATTTTTATGTTACTTTTCTATTTTTGTAAATTCCATCAAAAAAATAGCCGTGGTAGGAATAAGCACTACACATTGTCAACAGTTGAATAAAAATGATTCCGTTATGAATAGGTAATTAAAAATTACATTCAATCAAAGTAGAATATAGTAGGATCTATCAAATATTAATTTGTCCTTTCAAATATACAATTAACTATTTTGTCTTTCAGGCTTCAAACCCTGCTACTTTTCATAAAGAGGTTGAGAAATTGCTGAAACTTCTAACACATGAAAGGAACCAACACTGGTGGAACAGCATCCATATGGTGAAATTGATTTTGTCTTTCTGCAATCAGAAGTCTCTTTGGTCATCAAAATTAATCAGGATGCTTATTTATTCTGGTCATTTTTCTATACAGTAAGTTTTATCTTTCATTTATGTTTATAAAAATTATATATTTTTCTTAGTTCAATGTTTATTGTAATAATTCTTTGTGGAAGCCAGTTTGTGTGTATTTAAATATATGCAAACTGATTTCCACAGCTGTAAATTAAAACAAAAAACAAAAAAAAACAGTCTATGACAGCTTCTTTTTTTTTTTTTCTTATTGTAAAGAAATTAATACATTGAGATATATTCATGGCATGCTTTAGTAAAAACTAAAACCTTGTACAAGGGTTGGCTGGAAAGTTCATAGGTTCACAAAGATATAAATGTAAGTCGATACACCAGTTTGTAGACTAAAAGACCTGTAAGTGTACAAACTGGTGTGTCAACTTACATTTATATCTTGGTCAGCTGATGAACTTTCCAGCCAAACTTCGTTATAAAAATTCTAGCTTTTCATAATTTTCTATACTTGTTCAAACTAGTCACATCCTAGTTTTATCTTACCATTAGCAGCAGAACAGCTTGGCTTGTCTAGATCCAGGTCTTTACTGTCTCATGACAACTGGGGAAAACCAACAATTGGCGAGACTTGCTTTGCTATTGTCGGAGATTTGATGTCTTGTGAAGATGTTCCCTTGGCACATTTTGTTCCAGAAGTTGCATACTGCCCTTGCTGTGATTTTTGAGGACGTGGCCACACTAATCATTACTCAGTTTTACTTTATTTCCTCTCTTCTCTTTCCCATCTCTGCCTCTTACCCCTTAAGTGTTAAGAGAACAATCTATTAAACCCCCTCCCTCCCCCCCAACACATACTTGCAATCATGACTCTTACTATTGTAAGATTTAGATGTAGAAGGAAAATCTCTGAAGGACAAGAACTGTCTCAGTCAAAACTTAAGTAAAAGTTGAAAAGGCTAAGAGTTGAATATTTAACAATTTTAGAGTAGATGGAAAGGGACATGTCACTCTTCCCCATAAACATTTAAGTTGAAGAAGTAGCAGTTTCACATGCAAAGCAAATTTATATAGTTCTTCTCTCACCAGTTGAGACTTGTTTAAACTTAAAAACAGACTTTTCTCTTTTATAGAAATGTATGTTTAATTTTTAGAGATTTGATTTCAGAACTAGATGCCTGTAAATGTACATGCTAAAATGGATTTGGTCAAGTTGGAGGAATCATAAAAATTGATGGACTCATCCTTTTAAGTATTCTTTGTGAATTATATTTACATAGTTATTTTGAAGTAATCTGAAAAACACTTCAATTCTATTAAGCCTTTTTATAATGTATGAATTTAGCTAAATGCAACAGCCTGTTGATAATTTATAGTTAAATTTTAAAAAGTCATTTTGTATAGGGAGCCCTTAGGAATTATTAGTAATCCTATATTCAGTTACTGATTTCATTAAATCCAATAGTTTTTTATGCCTAATCAAAGGAAGCAGCAGCTCAAAAGTTTGAACTATTATGCTATATCTGCTATCTTTTGGATATCAGGTACATTATCTATTTTATATTTATTTCTCTTTTCTAGATCCTTGCCAGACTTATTCAAAGCACTTATCGACCATAAAGAAGTCCATCTGCTTGACTTAGCATTGCAGAGATTGACAAACATTCCTGAAATATGCTTAGCAAAAGCAATTGAATTTTATCTTAGGTATTTTTGATATTTTGTGAGTCTGTGTGGATTGTAACTGTTCATGGAGAATGCTTATACCTTCTATATAGGGATAGTTTTCTGATATACATTTTTTTAACTGGAAATATCCTTATTTTACTTTTCAACAGTTTAAGCCTCTGCCTCTAGTATACAACTTAAAATTTCTTATTTCCTGACTTTTATTCTGATTAATTTTATTTCAAACACTTTATTAAATTATTTCAAGAAAATGTTGGCCCACTAATGATTCAGATACCTAAAAAAAAAAAAAAAAAAAAACTTGACTGTGTGGTTTCAGAAGCAGTCTTAATATTAGTCCTTCTATTATTTCTTCAAACATTGCAATAAAGGAATAAATAGAATTACTGTATTTGATAGCATATCAGACACTTCTCACTTGCATTTAATATATTCTTTATAAATTTACACAGACCCTTTAGCCTACAGATTCTGGGTAACAGTCTACCAGAGATTTTTGTTGAGAAAGAAAAGGAATCTTGTATGCCATCAAATTCAGTAAGAAATAAGTTAAAGTTCTTTTATATTGAACTATTTTTTGAAAATTGTTTTTCAGCTTGGATAACAAAGAGAAACTATCTGAAAATGGCATTGAAGAAGCAAAAATGGAAGTTGATGAGCCAAATTGTCCTGTCAGTCAACAAACAGCTCATTATCTGTATCCTTGTGTAAACTTATTTGATCCTAAGTCATTGTTTCACTAACAACAATTCCACTATTTTGTCTAGAACAGTACCCATCTGTACAAACAGAATGTATACTTGGTGCTATGTAGCCTGTATATAAGTTAACATCCCAGAAATTTATACTTTGAGTAATGAGTGCTTTCATTCACCAAATTTGATCACAGACACACTGAGACAAAGTACAGAAAAACCATTGTTTTACCATTACAACCTTATTGAAGATAACCATCGCACTCTTTACTTTCATCCAAGTTCTTTTTGCACTTATTGGGAAACTTCTAAATGTAATCAGTTGTTGTTTTAACTGTGAAATGTAAATTTCCTCAATGTTTGGATAAACCAATGTACTCAAATTGGGAATTGTATAACAAAATCCCACTCTTGACTCCCTGCTGATTATCTATCAGACAATCTTCCCCACCCATATTATGTTTAAGTTTTAGATGAAGCTTGTTGAAATACCCTCAAGAATGAAGTGGGTAAGTCATAAGAAAAGCAATTTTCAGGACAGAAACCTAGAATTTGCTTTTAGAAACAATAACATTGTTTATTTTTGAGCGTTGCACTTACCAATTTAACACTTCCAATTTTTGTGATTTACTTACCTACAATTTCACTGTTTAGAGTTATCAGCACTATTCACAATATATCGCAAAAACAACAGCAATGCCCCAGACTGCTATCTGGTAGATGATTCAACAATTCATTCAGGGAACTTTTTCTTAGGCCTGCAGACAAAGTTGGTTTCCAACTCTTCCACTCCTTCATCCATTGACAAATGAAAACTTAAACTAAGAAAAATGTTTTCAGTAAACCAATTCTTCCTTGGGAGTATCTTGATGTTGACTTCATGGCTGCAGTTTCTGTGGCTGTCTGCTTGGGACCATCTATTTATGGAAATATATTTCTTTCAGCTGTTGGGTGACAAGTCAATTTGCATAAATTAATATGATGATTTTATCCTCTGGTTACATATCAAAATAAGCAGAATTTTTCACCTTTTTTATATATATATATATATATATATATATATATATATAATGTGTGTGTGTGTGTGTGATCAAAGCAGAATTGGGTTGTATTAAAAAAATCCTGTATTGAATTTTCACTAAGATGCTTCTTTGTAGAGTCATCTGGTTAAATTTAAGTTATTTCTAGTGAGTGCAAGCTCATTGTTTTACCAGATTCTAATAGCTTAAACTAGTTGTCTGTTAGTCAAACTCTGTCAATTCGAGCATTTGTGTGTTGAGGGTTGGTTTATGAGTGTGTAATGCTTTTAAAAAACTGTAAAAGAAAAGTACCAAAATTTCCTTAATATTTATTTAGGTGCCAAATTCTCACATGCTCTTTTGGTAACATATTTCTGATAGAAGCTTTAAAAACAATTCCTTTTCAATACATTGTGGTAAGTAAAATTGAAAACTTATACTGTATCATTTAATTTTGATTTAACACACAACACATTCATTATTTGTAACTTACCTAAAACATAATAAAATATGGTAGTTATCTTATCAGATCTCTCAATAGTCCATACTGAAAAACCATCTAAAAAAAAAAAAAAAAATAAAATATCTATAATATAAATGCACATTCCATGATAATTTTTATACACACACACAATTATTTTTATTTTAAATATTAAAATGTTTCCACATATCTTGATATTTTTTCCAAAGCATACCAATGCCTGAATTAAGTTTTATGGGTAAGTCTAATTAGTCTTTTTTGATCAATTTAATATGTTCGATACAAACTGTTAATGTATTTTACTATTGGTCATAAAATCACCCCACCTCTCTACCTTAATTTTAAAATTAGCACAAATATTAGTTTTTAATTAAAATTTATTTGATCTGTATCCATTATTATTTTAATAAAATCATTTTCATGCTTTTACTTCAGGTCCTATTAAAATTCTTGAACTATCAACTGATGAATGCTTCTGCCTTGCCAAGTATTAGTGAAAGTCAACCAAGTATGTTACAAGTAAGTCAAATTTGAGTTACATTGCCAAATTTTCAAATCATGCCACCTCTAAACAAAGAATATTATATAAAGGATTGGGGTCTTTTCTTGCTACTTATTGGTAATAGATTATTCAATTTGTGTTAAAAAATCCTAACTATTCAGTTATTCATATTTAAAAAAAAAAAAAAAAAAAGTGATAGTAGTAATAATAAAAATACTTAAGTGCTCCCCACACCATCTTTTTACAAATATTGTTTAATTATAAATTGTAATTACTCTCATTGCTAACACTATTTGCTCCAGTTGCTACCCAACCTTATTTTATGGCTAAGAAACTTATTTGAAAAAAAAAAATGGTTTGAGATTTGTTACAAAATATTCCTTAAACAGTTTAAGATCCTCCATTCAGTCATAGAAATAGTGTTGGAGCAGTTAACACCGGAGACAAAATTCTTGAAACTGGCTATAGAAGTGGACGAAGGCGCTTGGGATAATAAAAATTATGCACAATTTTTATATTCCTTAACTCCTACAAAATGGAAAAATTTTAGGATGCTAGAAAACTTAATAAAACAATTAATTCAATCTTCCTTGTCAACCACATTATATATATATATATATATATATATATATATAGTGGGCTCTCTTGTCACAGACAATAAAGAGGTGCTCAACTTCTATACATTAGCTTCTTTGTCAGAGATGCAAATTCCCAAGGGACAATTAAACTGATTCGTGTTGGTTTTCAGCAATATGTCATTTGGTAGGTAGGAGTTATTACGGATGATAAAGTTGCTTGTAATAAATTTGGTATAGTATATAATTAATTTTATTCTTCTACTGGGATCTGTGGGGGATATATTAGTATTTTTTTTTTTTTTTTCTTTTTTTTTTTCACTTCATTTTGTTTATATTTAGAATGCAGTTGATTATGATATAGAAGACTGATATGCTTAGGGTCATTTGAGGACACATTATGTTTGATTTATATTAAAATTTGTAATAGATCACCTTATTTGTTAATCAACAATGTAGTTATGAAAGACATTAATAAAAGTTTGTTTTAATGTTTTTTAGTTCAATGTAGAAAGTCCTTTTTGTAGACAAGTTAACTTTAGCCCGATTTATTAAATTTTGTATACTTGCTATTTTGTAGTAGTCAGGACATTCACTCCTATAATTAAGGGTGCATGAATTTGTGCAAGTAGGTTTGTTTTATATGGAGAGGTAGTAAATGTATTATTGATATCTATCAAGAAAAGGAATTTTATTATTAAGTTCATATCTAAGGTAGATAGATTGGTTTTTAAAATTACTAAATATATTATGTTCAAGGTTAGCCATATAAAAGTTACACCCAGAACTGAGCCCAGGGAAACACCACATTGTGTGTGTGTATATATATATATATATATATATATATATATATATATATATATATATATATTAGTTTTTGTGGTCAAATGTTGGGTCTAATTTTTAATGGAGGGAGAGATGGATCATTGTATATATTGTTTATAATTATGTTTATCGTTTCTCTAACTGGGACATTAGTGAATAAATTATCAACTTCAAGTGAGGCTATGGTTTCATTATCAAGCTTTTGTGTCTAGAATTTGGATTAATTCAAGAGTTGATTTGATGCCAATACCCTAGTTATTCCCTATCCAACATTAACTACTCGAGCAAATCTAATGACTAGATACATTGCTCTACCTACCAACTATCACTAGCCCAGTCGGTGGGGCATCAGAATACGCTGACTGCCCCCCTGCAGAGGGTAAAAGTCCCTCAATGGGGCCACCTGTTGGCCGTGGGTGGCAACCCGTAATGTCTGTGGACGGGATCCTGGTGGTTGAGCAAGTTGTAACCCAGGTGTAAAGCAGTCACAATCCTGTAACACACCACTTTGGCCCTTACCTGGGCTAGACGGGTGGTCGGAGGGGCCCGATCCGATCAATCGGCTGGTCATGTCAAGCCCCATCATATATAATCCACCCCAAACCTATAACTGACTCCTCTTCCCAACCAAAACTAACACTTAACCCTAAATATGTAATGGAAGGCGGTGGCTGAGGGTCAATCAATTTGGGAGAAAAAAAGGATCTGACACACTTGCTAAACCTTCACAGCCGTAATACTTGGAAAACGGAAACAAAGGAACATGCGTGCTCAAAGACTCCTCCCAAAGAGAGTATATCATTCACGTAGCCCCGACATGGCAAAGGCGAATGGGTTCCCCCCTTGTCATGTCCCAATACTGAACTCCTTGATGGGTAGGGAGCGAGAATGATGAACAAAAATAAAAACAATCAATGGAAAAAAAGAAATTTTCCAAAAGACCACATGTGGATAACGACTCAGAAACAGAAAATGATAGTGAAAACTTTCCACGATTTATTGTACTCGAAGCAATAAGCAAAAAAGCATTAACAGAAATTTCTCCATTTAAAATACAAAAAGCAATATCAAATATCATTATACCAAAAATGTAAAAAATTACAAAATGGAACACTACTAGTAGAAGTGGAAAAAAAAGATATATATCTGGACACATTAATAAGATAAAAAAAACTACAAGAAATTTGAAATAAAATCCTATCCACACCAAACCCTAAATTTCTCAAAGGGAGTAGTAAAAAGCAAGGAGCTCTCCCTGTGCACTCTAGAGGAGATAAAAATAGAACTCCAAACTCAAGGAGTTACAAATGTCAAAAGAATAACAATAAAGAAAAATGAAGCAGAGATACAAACTAATACCTACATTATAACTTTCAACTCCCCCCAAATTCCGACAATTAAAATTGGATATGAAAGTATAAAAGTAGAATAATACGTACCAAACCCTCTTCAATGCTATAGATGCCACAAATTTGGGCATCACAGAGATTCCTGTAGAAATAAAAAAAAAATATGTGGAAAATGTAGTGAGAAAGAACCAGAACATAAAGAAGAGAACTGCCCAAATGAGAGCCTATGCTCAAACTGTTTGGGAAACCACTCTGCCGTCTCAAAACAATGCAGTATATATAGACAGGAGAAAGAAATAATTAGAATAAAATACAAAAAAAAATATATCTTTCATAGAAGCACAAAAGGAAGTTAAAAATAACATAAAAGAAAACACCTATGCTTCCATGGCACAAAAAGCAAATAAAATAAACAATGAAGATAAAATAAACGGTTCAATTGAAATAACAAATTTATGCAAAGAATTAAAAGCTTTCCTTGAAGAATTAAAAACCTTTTTAATCGAACTTAGATCGAATCAAAATAAAACTCAACAACCCAGATCAAATGGAATAAACCCAGAAGGAGGCAAAAAACTTTGGAAAGAAAACACAGAACAAAACTCCAGCGAACCCTCTTCTTCCCAAACTAAGAAAATGAAAAATAAACAAAAAGACAAAAAAGTGACAACAGAGCAAGAAAGCATTCGATCAAGATCTAACTCAAAATCCAGAATCAATATATCAAATGAAAATAAATTTGAGCCTATGGAATATATGGAAATAGATGAGAAAGAAAATAAACAAAATTCAAAACAAAACCAAAACTCTGACCGAAGGACACCACAAGCAGTTGAAGACAAAGCTTCTAAAAACTCAAGAGATGGGAAAAAAACTGGAGAGGACAAATGATATAAACCTAGTAGGTAACTTTACCCCCAAAAAATGAAAATATAACCATGGCACATAAGATCCTGCAATGGAACTGTCGTGGAATAAAATCTAATTACAATGACCTGCTCATACTTATGTCACGGCTGTATCCAGCCGTCATCTGCTTACAGGAAACTTTTTTACAAGAAAATGCCAGCTTAAAAATTAAAAATTATAAACAATATCACTATAACCACAATACAGGACATAGAGCTAATGGAGGAATGTCAATATTGATTAGAAATGACATACCGCAAAGTAAAATACACATTAAAACTAAATTGCAAGCAATAGCAACACAAGTGACACTAGATAAAACCATCACAATTCTTTCCATTTATATACCCCCACAGGAACCAATAAATACAACAGAAATAAACAACTTGATGGAGCAACTTCCTAAACCTAGAATCTTACTAGGAGACTTTAACAGTCATAATCCTATATGGAATAGCAAAAAGCTAGATACTAAAGGTAAAATATTAGAAGAAATAATTAACACCCATAACTTATGTCTATTAAATCATAAATCCTCAACTTACCTTAATCCCTTCAATGGAACAGAATTTTCAATAGACTTAAGTATATGCGATCCAGAAATTTGTATGGATTATACATGAAAAACACATAGCGACACATGTGGCAGTGATCATTACCCAATCATTCTAGAAAATCAAAAGCCTGCCAAGGAAGAAAAGATAGGCCCCGTCAGATGGAAACTGAAAAGAGCCAACTGGGAGGGTTTCAAAAACAAATGTAAACAATTACTGATACAGTCAAAGGACACAGACAACTCGATAGAATACTTTACCAAAACATTAATAACCATTGCCTCGGAAAATATACCAAAAAAGCAAAATAATTATAAAAAAACTAAACCCTGGTTTGACAAAAACTGCCAAAAAGCAGTCAGAAACCGGGAAGCAGCATTGCGAAAATTCAAAAAGGAACCCACAACCCAAAATTTGATTGAAATGAAAAAACTCAAAGCAGTAGCACGGAAAACTGTTAAAGAAGCCAAAAGGGAATGTTGGAAAAAATATGTAAACAGCCTGAATACACATTCCAAAACCAAGACAATATGGGAAATGAGAAAAATAGCTGGAAAAAATCAAATATACCCAATAATACATCTTAAAAAGGACAACACTAAAGCAACTAGCAAAAAAGTGATAGCAAACCTACTAGCAGAGACATTTGCAGAAAACTCTAAAATTAGCAAAAATCAAAACCTACAAAAGTGTAAACAAAAAGATATAAATAACCAACTAAATTTTTCGTCTAAAAATACAGAAGCCTACAACAATCTATTCACTGAAGCAGAACTAATAGAAGCCATAAAAAAATCCCATAATACAGCAGTAGGCCCAGACCAAATCCACTATGAATTTATTAAACAACTACCACAAGAATTGCTGAAATACCTTTTGAATATTTTTAACAATATTTGGACTACTGGGAAATTTCCCAAAAATTTATTCCCATACTCAAAGAAGGAAAAGAGGGAAACAATCCACAAAGTTACGGACCAATAGCATTAACAAGCTGTCTATGTAAGACAATGGAGCGAATGGTCAACGCCAGATTGAGTTGGTTTCTAGAAGAAGGAAAACACATATCCAAATATCAATGTGGATATAATAAAGGAAGAAGTACAATAGATCACATAATAAGACTAGAAACAGCCATAAGAGAGGCCAATTTAAACAAACAACATCTAATAGCCATATTCTTTGATATAGAAAAAGCATTTGATCAAACCTGGAAACATGGTATAATGGAAGATCTGCATAAACTAGGATTAAGAGGTCGACTACCAAACTTTGTAAAAGGATTTTTAACAGATAGACTCTTCCAAGTACAAATAGATGCTATACGTTCTGATTATCAAAAGCAAGAAGAGGGAGTACCACAGGGAAGTGTACTCTCCCCTACACTTTTCAAAATAAAAATAAATGACATAATAAAAAACATCAAATCAGGAATACACTGTAGCCTTTATGTTGATGATTTTACAATATATTGCAGAAAGACAACTTCAACAATGCTTACATCAAATAAACAAATGGACACTCGAAAATGGTTTTAAAATATCAAAAACAAAATCTGTACACTTCTGCCAAATGAAAAAATTACACAATAACCCAACTCTAAAACTAGGAAATGAAGAAATACCAGTAGTTCAGCAATATAAGTTTCTAGGAATGATCTTTGACAGAAAACTGACCTTCAGACCACATATCAATTACCTAAAAACAAAATGTTTTAAAGCTCTCCAACTACTGCGAACAGTAGCCCATACAGAATGGGGAGCTAGCAAAGAAACCCTTCTTAAACTTTATAGAACGTTGATCCGCTCCAAACTGGACTATGGCAGCATGGTCTACCAATCAACTAGAAAGTCTTATCTAAAAACAATAAACACAATACACCATGAAGGCCTTCGAATAGCTCTAGGAGCCTATCCCACCTCACCTATAGAGAGTCTACATGTAGAGGCAAATGAACCCCCATTACAACTAAGAATGGAGAAACTAGCAACTCAATACTATCTAAAACTCTCTTCCTGTCCTTTTAACCCCACACACGATTGCGTACTTACACCAAATCACAAAGAGAAATTTAATCTTAACACAAATAAAATCAAAACATTGGGACTCCGAATGGAAGGAATCATCCAAGAAAATAATATACCGTCTAATCAAATACTTAAAACCAACCAATCAAACATACCACCATGGATAATCAAAAATCCAAACATAATATTAAGTTTAAACAAATTATCAAAATCAAAAACACACCCCACAACATACATTGAAAAATTCTCAAAAATAAAAGAAAAATATCAAAAATACAAAAGTATTTACACGGACGGCTCAAAAGACGAAGAAAAAATAGGCAGCGCAGCAATAACAAAGAAAACAATTATCAAAAAACGCTTGCCAAATGAAGCATCAATTTTCAGTGCAGAAGCCTACGCAATAAAACTAGCACTAAATTTCATATCAAATAACAAAGAAAACTATATTATTTTCTCAGATTCATTATCTGTATTAACATCCCTAAAAGGGAAAAGACTGGAAAATCCATTAATACAAAGTCTTCTATATAAATTACATTCAATGGAAAAAAGCAAAAATATCATCTTCTGCTGGATTCCTAGCCATGTCAGCATCCAAGGAGGAGATAAGGCAGATACTGCTGCTAAATCATCTTTAAAAATGACAATTAATGAAAATCTTCAAATTCCATATACAGACTTAAAATCTAAAATACATAAGAAACAAATGGCAAAATTCATGGAAAAACCAAACCGGAAATAAACTATTTCAAATTAAACCTAAAATGGGGAAATAATCTTGGAAATACTCGGAAAAAACAAGTCGTCATAACCAGAATACATATAGGACACACATACTTAACCCATTCTTATATATTAAAAAAGACAAATCCACCAAAATGCAGATGTGGAAGCCTAATCACAATAAAACATATTCTATTGGAATGCAAAATCATAACTAGAATAAGACAAAAATATCTCAATGGAAAAGGTTTAAAAGAAATTTTCAAAAATACAGACACAGAAAAAATATACAGTTTTCTCAAGGAAATAAAGATCCTCAATAAAATATAACCCTTTCAAATAGTGTATATGTATGTGTATGTGTTTATAGACATATATATGCATGTATGAATGTAAATATTAAAATACACAATCAAAAACAGTCACAAGAAAAAGCAATCCCAAAAAATACAGAAGATTATGAAACCGAACAGCCTTTCAACTTTTTATACAAAATAACCATCTTAAATTCATAAATTAATAAGGCTTCGGCATAAATTGACCCAAATAGGAGTTGACATGCCGTTAAATCCAACATCCATCCAACTATCACAGCTATAATTAAAAAGAATTTATCTAAGCTGAACATAAAATTTTTTACAACTCCTCATAAAAAAAAAAATAACAGGGATTTACTATTTTGCCTGTAATGATTACCACAAGGAATCCATGAGTAGATACTAAAATTTGTTTATATTAATTTTTTTAAAACGAGAAGGCTTTCATTGAAAGCTAAAGGATTAAATTCCAATAAACAAAAACAGAAATTATATGGATTGGGGTTGTGTGTTTTGTTTTATTTGTGAACACAAGTTATTCTTTTAAAAATCTTGCAAAAATAAAATATACTTTTCTAAAACTGATTTAAAGTATAAATAATCTGATTTAAAACAAATATTTACTAAGTTTAAAATAACAATGCATTTTTAAACCAAACGGTAGCCACATTTAAGTGTTTGAGCGATAAGGTGATGCCAAATTTATTAATGTTCTACAGACTTTATTTGTAAAAACATAATTTAAGAAAATGACGTGACTAATTTTTATGTACGCAGTAATTTTCAAAGTTTTAGGAATATTCTCAGTAATCTAATTTTAGGCATATTGACTTTAAATTTACTATAGCCTTATTTCCTGATAATAGGCACATGTATTATATACATAAAAAAATTGAAAATTCTTTTAAAAATATTGGTGTTCAATGACTGGTAATAAGCTTATTCATTTATGATTAATAAATATAGTTTTCACTTAATAATAATAATCTAAATGGATGAAATCGATACAGAATTTTAAAAGATTTAAAACTTAATTTTTAAAAAAGAATTCTTGTAAAAATTCATTATTTCTTGAAAAAAAAATGTTTCTTAAGACAATAGTGTCCTTAATATATCTTGTGTATAAAAGCAATTAAAAGCTTTCCTAATTAATGTCAGTTTTATTACATTTTTTACGATTTGGAGATTTTCAGTAAAAACAAATGTGATATAAATTCTTGAAGTAATCCTGCTTTTAACTAATATGAATATGAAAAGGATGAAATTTTAATTTCTCAAAATTAAGTAGGTATAGGGTAACAGATGTAAAAAAAAAAAAAAAAAAAAACATAAAATAATAACAAACACTTTGACAATAAAACTTAGTTTTTATCAAGTTTGAGACTTTTTCCATCATCATATGTACCTTTTTCTTTTTTTTTTTTTTTTTTTTTTACATATGAGAAACTTCAAATTTAGATAAGATTATATGGACACAAAAGGTTTTTTTACAAAATATAGCAATCAATGCATTAATTTCTCACTATAATGAGTCTGACCATAATTTCAATTTTTAAAAAAATGCTACTTTTAATTAAGAGAGAAATTTACTATGGCAAAAATGTTTAGAAAATGCTTTGTTTACTAAATCATCCACAGTACATTTGTCTCTGCGTTCTTACACCATTTTACCTTTCTTGGCAAATCTGTTACCATATTGTGGGATACTTAAAAACATAGCATAGGAAAACTGAAGGAGCTAGTACCTAAAAAAAAAAAAAAAATATCCAGTGTTTCCACATCATCCATTTCTTGTTGGTACATAATTATAACAGATACTCATGTTTTTACATCTCTCCACATATAATTCCATCAATAAAAACATTACTTTAGTTTAAGTCCTTCTAGTTTGGTTATTTTGGACCATAGATATAACTTTTGGGATTGAGTGTACAAATAATTATGGCACTAAGGAGTTTCTTCTGACAGCTATTCCTTTGTAGCATTAAAAATTCAGGTTATCTTATTTGTATATTTCCAAATACTATTTCTATCAAAGTGTTTTTTCTTTTTACAGATAGTAGATTGGGTATCTGTTACTATAGATGCTCATGTGACACAGTTGGTTATTTCACCTGACACAAAAGATTTATTACATCACTTATATTATACAGTTGGAAATGAGGTAAAAACAAAAAAATCTTTTAGAATTAAATTTTAAGTCTAATGAATGACTACCACAGGTTAAAAATGTTATTATGCATCTGAAATAATTTCTACTTGCAGGTGCAATTTGTGGATGAACTTGCACATATAGAAGCCCAACTCACACAACTGGAAGTAAGAAATACATTTGTGAGCAAAGATGAAGAAGTTGGACAATATTGTATTCGCTTTTTACATATTCCATAAGACAGTAAATAAAATTAACATTCCTATTTCATTTTGTTTTGAATATTTCTTCATATATACTTAGGTAGATCAATAGGTTTATACTATAATGATGAAAGCATATATTTTTAATAAATCTTTTTCAATGTACTCAACTTGGATATTACACTGAAATTTTCATGTAAAGATGTGGACTTGCTGGAGTTTTGCTGTACTAAATATATATTAAAGTATAAAAACAAAAAACTATTTAATACAGCAATATGTTTGCATCATTTCAAAGGTAAGAGTAGTTGTCTGTAACATGGCTTTCAAGTCAATTTTCCATAACAGTTAAACAAATCATTCTTAATTCATTTTGTAACTCAGATTATGAATTTTTGCAAAATGTTAAGTTTCTTACTATTTTACATACTATAAAATCTCATAGAAATAAGTCCTGTCAGCATTCTGAACTATAAATCTTCAGATGTAAACTTTCTTTCCCAATATCAGATATTGCAGACAACTTTTTAAGTAATTTTTTTTCTAAATTACTAGCCAATAACATAAGACAGGTAATATAAGGAAATTTAGCATAGAAGATATATGAAAGAGCTGAATATTTTAAAGAACATACAAATTATTCTTTTAATCAATGAACAACATTTTTATATAAAAAAAAAAATAAAAAATAAAAGACTGACAAAAACATTCTTGCAGAATTTTTTTTTTTCTTTTCAGTTCTAAGTTTCAATGAAGACCAATTAATTTCTCAATGGGAGGATATTGCCAATCATTCTCTGCTAATGCTTTAGCTTTTTGGCGTAGCTGCTTCATTCGTTTCTCATGCAGATCTGCAAATAAGCAAAATAAATATATATACACATACATACATACATATTAAGCAATAAAAAGTTCAGTTTAACTGCAATTAGTATGTTTACTTGTCAGACTTGACAGCAAATGATAGGGTATCTGCCTGCTACAACTGTACTGAACATTTGTTTACTTTCAGATATAATAGAAAGAAAAACTTTAATGGTGTAAAAAGAATTTACTACTGGCACTGGTTTTCTGAACACAAATATCTGTTGCATTTCTCTCATTCACTCACAGAGAAAGCACAGCAATAATCCAAATAGGTAAGTTAACTGTCTCTCCAACTGTGTATAACAGGCAAGGACAAAGGCAAAAAGACAGCACTTTTCGGGTATCTGTTACTATAAATGCTCATGTGACACAGTTGGTTATTTCACCTGACACAAAACAGTGCAATTAGAACATTCTAGAGAGTTCTTCAATTTTCCATTCAATTCTGTTGGACTGATCTAGATGCTAGCAGTCTCCACAACAAAAAGTATCAACAACACAGTCTCTCTCTGGGCTTGGGTGTTCCCTTAGATCATCTAGGATTGTTTAGTAGTCCCTACTCTGGTACAGGCAATTTGGTTGGGGGTAGAAGTGGTCTGGTTTGTCCCTGAGCTTGTGGCACTTCTTTAAAGACCTCCATTGGATGATCAGTTGGAAGAAACATTGTCCATCTCATCACTAGGTTTGTAGTTCTCCGCAGAAGTGTTGCACAGATGTAGCTGTTCCCAGTGATATCTCCATACTGAGCCATGAGGAAAAACCTTGACATTGAAGCAACAAGTACCTATTGACTTTGTGATGACTGCTGGTACCCATCAGGAACATTTGTCTCTGTGAGGTCCAAAGTACAGTGCATATACTGGATCATGAGCCTTGTACTACCTGGTTACCTTGACCATGCCTCCCAAGTTTCGAGTCATCTCAACCTTTGATGACACCTTGGATTGCCTGCTCTGAGCTGTTTGTGTTGGTGAGAGCAGCAGAGAATCAGTCCTAGTCCATATCTGCTGGGACATCAAGAGTTTGCTTGGAGAGAATCCTCAGGATGTCAGCGTTCCCCTGGTATCGCATCAAGAACTCACTTCGGGGCAGATAAGAATTTCTCAGTGCTTGCTTGAAAGTCTGCACCAAATGTTCTGCTGCTCTGTTAGTAGCTGCATGATATCACATTCTTTGCACCAGCTCTGAAATTTTTCACAAAGGAAAAACTATGCATTATCCATAACAAGCATGTGAGGGTATCCAAAGTAACTGAAATACTCCTCCAGCAGATCTAGAGTGGCTCTAGTGGATGTGAATGACATTGGGTGAATATATGTATACACAGTGATCACCAACCAGTCATGCCCATGAAATTGATGACATGATCCATGTGTAAACAGCTCCATGGCTTCTCTCGCAACATCCAAGAGTAAACTGCAGGCTTGGATGGCTTATGAGGTTCTTGCTGCATGAGTCACATCATCTACTAGCTGTATCAATGCCAGGCCAGTAGACAACACTTCTTGCCAATATATGCAATAGATTTAGGATATTGTGCTGTAGGCTCTGTAAAAGGACAACTCTTGATCCCTGGATGAGGTCGCCATAGTAGATACTGAATGAATCCAACGATTTCCAAAAAATTTTGACTTCATTGGTCTTGGTGTGCTTTGAACATAGTGCATCACTATATTTATCACTGGATCTTTCCCAGGCTCTTGACAGATAATGTTGGTATCTATAGGTTTGACTTGAAGACTGAGAACTTTGATGGCACACATGTCCATGTCTTCTCTACTTCCTATCTGTCAGTCATTGTTGTCTCCAGATGGCAAGCAACTAAGGGCATCTGCATTGACATGATCTGCTGTTTTCTGGTATTCAGTTGTGTAGTCAAACTGGTTTAGCCACAGGGCCTATCAAGCTCATTTGATTGGCTGCGAGAAGTGATGTCCCTCTTTTAAGACAAAACAGTCAGTGGTTTATGATCAGAACAGATGTCCATACAGATACTGGTAGAATTTCCGAAAGCCAAAGATTACAGCTAGGATTTCCTTGTGGATTTGACTGTAGTTTCTTTCTGCAGAACACAAGTCTTGGATGTGTTGGCAATTGGGCACTCACTTCCATCCAGATAGCGATGAAACATGACTCCTCTAATTCCAATGTTGGATACATTACAAGCCAGTCCAAGAGACTTGTGCTTGTTCTTCATACCTCCACTTCCAGGGAGTTGTTTTCTTGCTTAAATGGTAAAGTTTCTCGGCCACGGTGGCCAGATTTGGGATGAGCTTCCCATAGAACTGAACCGAGCTCAAGAAAGACTTTAAGCTTGAGATGTCTGTAGAGGTGGCATCTTCATGACTGCCTCAACCTTGGATCCCTGCATGATTCCCTCAGCTGATAAGACTGGGTAGTGCAAACAGACACTTTTCATGATGGCATCTGAGTCCTTTATCATTCAAACAAGAAAATAAACATCTCGGGTTTCTCAAGTGATCATTGGCATCTTGCCCACTGACAAGCATATCATCTTGGAATACGGCAACTTCAGGCAGATCACTGGTTGAGTTCTCCATGATCTGGAAGTAACAAGGTGCTGACAATTTCAAATGGAAGTCATTGCAGGAGTATTCCATGGTGAGTGCTGAGGGCTAGCCTTTGTCGACTCGCTGGTGCTAGCTTCATCCAGTTGTAGGCATTGGTAATTTATTTGGAACTGGGGAATTTAATATTGGCTCCAGCATAGACTCAGGAAGAGTTACTCCGAGGGTGTTATCTGGAAGCCTCAAAACTGCACTACATCCTGGCAGAATTGGAATTTATCCCTGTTGAGTACGATTCCATTTTTTACAGTGAAGTAGGAAATCGAAGGCTTCCTTGGCAGAGCGTTGTCCATGATCTTTGCCTTACAGGAATATTTTTTATTATTTCATCGTATCTGAGTAAGTGTCTCTAGATGCAAACCGTTTTGTTTTTTTTTTTCCACGACTTTCCAAAGGGCCTGCGTTACTGGTTCTTTGAAGTGGAAAGGTACAGGAACTGGGTTGTGCCTGGCTTTAGGGATTGCTCCCTCTTTAAGGTGGATGTTGGCAGTGGGACTTGACATATACAGGAATAGTACATTGTTTTTGTATGCTGTTTTGGTGAAATGCTCTAGGAGCGAATCCTTAATGTTTTCTTCCATTGCTGGAAAGTGAGGAGGGGTCTTTGGCCGATCTGGCAGTTGATCGGCAACATCATCAGGTTTGGGGTTGGGGCCTAATTTTTCATGTGTGCCTGTGGAGGAGATGTATTGCATTGCAACGTTAGCTGGGATTGACACTGTGGCAACAGTGTTCAGGAAATTTCCATGCAATATTCTTATATCAATGCCAGCTGCCTTGCTGAAATATAGCCACTGAATTTTTTCACATATGTCGATGGCTTGTTTGGTTGTTTTCCTTCTAATTTAACAGCAGCCAACTCTGACATGAGAGTGAAGCATCCCATGGTTTGAACCATTTTTTCTGATGGGGACAAGGTTGTTATTTGTGAGTCCCATCTTCAGTAAATTCCTTGGTCCCCCAAGACATATGGTGGCCCTACTATCAGGAAAGACCTTAAATCTACTGCTGTGACCACCAGGGATGCTTGTAGCCTGTCTGGGATCCGGATTTGGTGAGAATGGGATTGCCGAACCATCTATTTCCATTACTTGGTTTCTGGTTGTGGATGTGCCCATTTTTTGGGGTCAAATGTAATGTGAGCGATTAGATTGTCCATGAGAACCTCATTAGTTTCACAGCTTTTTACAATGACTTGGCAAGGTTCCTTCTTGTTTGGCACACCCTCAAAAAATGATTGGACTTTCTGCAAGTGCTGCATGTTTGACCCCATGCTGGACACACAAGCTGACTGGAGCTTTTTCCTGGAATGCCATGTTGGTGTCTACCACAGCCTTTGCAAGCCTGATCAGGGGTTTGCTTCAATAACATTATTGTTGCAGTTAGGTGATAGCACAAAGATTATTGGTTTGTGGAATATTGTTCTGTCTGCGATATGTTAACATCTGAACAGCATTGCATTCTGGTTCTGTCGTGCTGATTTGAATGCCTCAGTGTGACACGTTCTACTCGAGAGATTTCAGTATCCCAGCTTTAGCCAATAGATCCATTTGGAGCGTATCATTTGCTGTTCCTCTGATG